ACTCTTTCCTTATCTCTTGAACTTAGAATTGATAACACTTTCAGGCTATGACCATCTCCCAAATAACCACATTGGTTTTAAAATCTACAGGGGGTAAAAAGGAAACATAGAAGGGCAGCTACAAGCCTGGTAAATCCCCATGTATTTTCAGTATGTCTTTATCAAGGAAAATGCTTCTATTTGTTCCTTAAGCAGTCTGCTTAGGGTAACCGCAGCGTGTAACGTCTATTGAGCAGTTTTGATAAAGACATGTCTGAAATGTACTGGGATTTTACCCATCCTTGAAGCTGTCTTTTTGTGTTTTCTTTTCTTAGAGGATGCTTTCCCTCCCCGAGAAATCCATCAGCTGACTGTGGCCTCCATCCATCAGGTAGGTGGACCACTCAGGGGAATAGCACTGTAGTGCTAAGGGGTGTGTGTGTGTGTGTGTGTGTGTGTGTGTGTGTGTGTGAGAGAGAGAGAGAGAGAGAGAGAGAGATGCTGAGTATTCCTCTTAAATACCTGATGTTCTGAAGGAATGGCAGAGGACTGGGGCTTGTGAGACTTCTGATCCCTCGACCTTAAGGACAGGAAAGGAGGAGACACTTAGATTAAGGAACCACTGCCGATTCCCAAAGCAATATATTTGACAAGCCTTAGTTCTGAAAATAAGCTCTTGACATGTCACAGGGCTTTTTGTTGAACCCATGTTTTGCTGCATGACTAGAGAATTTCCACTTTCCTAGCCATGACAGTCTGTTACAGCAAAATTAGTCTTTTTCAGTTCAGGAGATGTGGACTTCTCGATTGCTATTTGTAATTGATTTTGATGAGAGAATGGTGAAAATCTTCTTACTACATGCTATAGACTGAGGTTCATGATTCTTCACTTATCAAGCTTCCCCCTTAACTCCCTGATCATACATGAGCCTCTGTTTTAAAAAAACAATTTAATTATTTTTTCTAGATTCAGGTCATATACCCTAGTGGAGAGAATGACCCATCTTCGAAGCTATCTTTTTGTGTTTTCTTTTCTTAGACTATGCTTTCCCTATCTGAGATATCTGTGTGTGCCAGTCCTTATTGTTGGATGTTCCATAGAAAGTTTATACAGTAATGAGTGTGATACACGTAGGATTTATCAGTCGGAACTGCCCTGTTGTAGCAAATCAGCATTCCATAGACACTGAACAGTACTTGGTAGCTGTGGGTTGTGTGAAACTAAATTATGGGGAAATACAAGTGTCTTATCATTGAGTAAGCTTTTCTTTCAAGATAATTTTCAAGGGATGCAAGCAGCCCAAACCATGCGCAGGCCATCAACAAGAACATTTTCTTGCAGGGTTCAGCAAATGATGTTTTGCATGACCCTGTCTGTCTGGTGCATGCAGTGGTCTATCAATAATGCTTTTTCTTTGGATGGTAAACTGCATTTATGGATTGTAGTTGTAGGGAAATTTTAAAATGCCTTGAACAGCGAATAGTTAGAATATGAAAACAGCAATGTCCTTCTGATATGTGCTACTTTGGAACAGTGGTAGCCAAAATGTGTGAGTTGAGGGAGCTAATTTTAAGCTCCTAAGACACCCTCCCCCCCAAAAAAAAAAACCTGAATGTGGATAGAAATCCATTTCTGGTTTCATTAAAAAACCCTTTGGGGGTTTAGATCAATGTTTATGAGAGGCTCATTTTAAAGAAGAATTGTTCCTCTTAGAGATTTCTCAGGAGCAGCCATTCTCCTTCTGCCCTGCTCCCCTCAATAGACTGGTGTAGGGGGAGGGGTTTGTGGCTGCACGATCTATTAGGGGTCATGCCATCCACAGGCTTTGTGTCTCCCCCTGCTTTAGAGTCTGATTTTCACTGCTATACCGTAAATGAAATGATTTTTTTTCATCTACATACCTGGCACTTTCTCTTTCAGTCGCTAAAGCTCAAATAATTTTGACCTGATTTTAACCTAATACATTTTCCCCTATTAAAACAGGCCATAAAATGAACCAGTGGCATTCTGACAGACCCTTTCTACACATAGATCATTTTACCTTCGCTGTCTTGAAGGCCTTATTATGTTTGGTGGGGAAAGATCACTCTTTTGGAATTGCTCGACTAAGCAGCATTGAGGGTCATGATCTGACAAAATGTGTTTTTGAGAATTTTATTAGAGTTAATAAAGTGTCATTTGTAGAGTTTTGTTTCATTTTCATCCCTGGCTCCTCCAATTCAAGAGATGTGCGGGAATTCTTGCAAGCACCGTTCATGCAACTCGGAGAGGGTAGGAGCTTCCTTGGAGACTCGAAGCAATGTTTGCCAATCCTTGTAAAGCATTTCACCTCTTCAGAGGCTAAAGCCTCTCAATACCAAGAACAATTAAAGCAGGAGCCTTTTGGAGCAACTGGGGAATTCAGAAAAATAAATCAGAAATCCTCTTCCTTGGCTCTGGAGGGTTGCCTCATTATAAGAGCAGATCTATTAGCCCCCTTGCCATTGTCTTTCATTTCTCAAGTGAGGTGATTCTAATTAAATTAATCTGCATGTCAATCTATCGGTGATCAATCAAAGGGGCCGAGGTCCCCCTTTGCGGCAGTATGCTTGCGGCTGACAGGGGCTGATAATGGAGGAAGAAATAAACTGTCGAGCAAAGTTAATTAGTCAACATAATAGGTGGATTAAACAGGAGCCGGCTGATTGCTGTTTCACATGTTGAAGCATGAGGTGGGAGCTGAAACTGCAATTAACAGACAATTATTATATTTGGTTGTAAGAGGTCGCATGAATAAACATATCTCAGTGGGTTTCAATTTTTAATCCCCCTTCCTTGTTTAATATAAGGAGAAGTGTAGGTCATTCCTTATTGTTGTAGCCAAAGTTCTGGAAGGCAGCGTATGTTCAGGGAGAACAAACTTGTAATCAGACCAGAATGTTGACTGAGAGATAGCAAAGACAGGAACTTTGTCGTTTTGTTTAATGGGAGGCTATTTAAAGCAAGCAACAAGTTGTGGTTTGATAAAATCTATGTGAAGTACCCAGTGATTTGAGAACAGTTTTGTAAAATCCCCATTCCCTCCTTTCATAGATTCACATTTCTGATCCTTTACTAGTAGGATTGTGCTGTTGTTGGAATGGAGTCCACAGGCTGTGCAGGGTCTTCAAGTGCGAAGAACTCCAAAGGAATAGCCTTAGCTACTTTCTTCATCCTAAACGAACTTTGGGTTCCTAGATATTTGCAAAGGCATGAGCTGGCTGTGAGGTTTTTCTTTCTTTTTAGGATCAGCAAAAGGAAAGCAATTCAGTTCTGCCTTGTTGTTTTTGTTGTTTAGTTGTTGTGTCCAACTCTTCGTGACCCCATGGACCAGAGTACACCAGGCCGTCCTGTCTTTCACTGCCTCCCAGAGTTGGGTCAAATTCATGCTGGTCACTTCGGTGACACTGTCCAACCATCTCGTCCTCTGTCGCCCCCTTCGCCTCTTGCCTTCACACTTTCCAAACATCAAGGTCTTTTCCAGGGAGCCTTCTCTTCTCATGAGATGGCCAAAGTATTGGAGCCTCAGCTTCAGGGTCTGTCCTTCCACTGAGCACTCAAGGTTGATTTCCTTCAAAATGGATAGGTTTGTTCTCTTTGCAGTCCAGGAGACTCTCAAGAGTCACCTCCAGCACCACAATTCAAAAGTATCAATTCTTCGGTGGTCAGCTTTCTTTATGGTCCAGCTCTCACTTCCATACATCGCTACTGGAAAAACCATAGTTTTGACTATGTGGACCTTTGTCGGCAATGTGATGTCTCTGCTTTTCAAGATGCTCAAGAAGCAGGCGTCTTTTAATTTTGTGGCTGCTGTCCCCATCTGCAGTGATCATGGAGCCCAGGAAAGTAAAATCTGTCACTGCCTCCATATCTTCCCCTTCTATTTGCCAAGAGGTAATGGGACCAGTTCTGCATTACATACCTCATTCACATGATCAGTGGAACTCAGGTTCACAAAAGAATAGCACTCGGTTTCCTTGGTAAATCCAGTTGTAATCACTTTTACAAGCTAAGGAATGCCTTGAAGTGCAGCCATATAATTTAAAAATATTTGTGACCCAGATGTATAATGATTGCACCTTCCTCTCTCTTATCTGATCACCTTCTTATTTAAAGATCTTTGGATCTCATGTGGTTAGAAGAGGCCCTATCTTCTCCATAACTAGCTTCAGTTACATTATTGTGTCCTGATGTATATTGGCCGTCATATGAAATTTACTGGAGAATGTGTCGGCTGAGCAGCTCTCTATTTGCAAACCATATTTGTATATTCTGATGACTCTGTGACTTTATAATACAAGATGTGTTACACTTTACTGTGAAGTGTTATCTCCATCTTAAGTTGCTTAAACGGATTGGAAGTCAAAGTTTGCAAAGCATGTGAATTTAACCAAGATTATTTGCTAAAGAAAATGTCTACACGGACTTGAAAAGCACTATTCATTTAGGCTCTGAAATGCCTTTTTTGCACACACGCATAGAGTTCAGGGGAATTTTGGAGAAGCACAAACACCCCCGGCAGCTACAGCTAGAACAGCATGAGAAATGCTGCTGCTCTCATCCCAACTTTACAGAGCACACTTGCGCTTTTCTTTTGTTTTTCAGCCAATTCTCATTTGCAATGACAACAGCTTTATCTGTTCTGATGTGCTTTGCTGAAGCATGATGTGGGGTAAAACGCAGCCAGCCTTTTAAAAAGAAGTTGTTAATAACTGTGCTCTTGTTAAAATGATGGTTAACAGAGTAAATTTCACAATACAGCTACAAACCATGCAAATTGACTTAAAAAGACATCAGATGCCTATGATGCCAAAGACCCACTCATCAGCAGCACGCCTTCTTAGAGTCATACACTCTAAGCACTAGTTATTATGCACCATAGCTGTGCAATTTTCTGCAGCTCCCAGCTGTTCTATTTGAGATTCTGGGCTTATTATACTCTGTGGTTATTTCATGATACCTTATATTAAAGCGTTTCCTTATACTCTGGTTCCATTCACAGGTTGTGGTATCTACAACAGTCAATGTGGACGGCCATGTCTTGGCAGTGTCGGATAACATGTTTGTACACAACAACTCCAAACATGGGCGGCGAGCTCGAAGGCTCGATCCTTCGGAAGGTACGCCTTCTTATCTGGAACATGGTAGGCATTTTTTGTTGGTTGCCATTGTTTCTTTAATTGTTGGTCCTTTGGTCCTTTCGGTTGTTGCTATTTTATCTTCCTTGCCCCCTTGTCCACTAACGTAGGGTTATGTTATGAATGGGTCAGTTTCTTACTTAAAAAAGGAGTACATTGCTAAAAAACTGGTGCAGAATTTCCTCCTTTCCTGAAAATAAGTGATGCTTTTCTAGTGACGACAGGCTCATATGCTTATTCTGGAAAAACTCCTGCCACCACATTTATGCTTATTATTTAATAAGTGTGTGCCGTCAAGTCAGTTCTGGCATGTAGTGACCCTTTTCAGGGTGTTCCAGGTAGAAAGTACTCGGAATGCTTTGCCCTTCCCTTCTTCTGAGAGCTCCCTGGGATTGTGCAGCTTGCTCATGACTAAGCAGGTTAATTCCTCTCCCAGGAAGCTCAGTGGGGGGTGAGACTCCCAGTCTCTGGCTCTACAGTAGGGGTCAGGGAACTTTTTTATCTTTTCCCCGCCCAAAAAATTTATATCCCCCAACATTACTCCCCCCCCTCCCAGCACCGCCCCTCTGCTGCCACCGTGCGTGGCCAACCCCCCTCCCCGCCTCTGCGCTCACCTGGGACCTGCGGCCGCCCCCCCAAGCAGCCAGTCTGGAGCCACCACGCTGCCGGGAAAGCTGAAGGGAGCTGGGCATGAGCTTAGGTGAGGCAGAGCGGGAAGGGGGCCTTCCCAGGGCTCGCTCTCCCCACGACGGAATGTCTGCCTACATAGAGTATCGTTGGAAATGAAATGCCTGGGGGTAATGAGGGTCATGCTGCTGCAACCGTCCTCATTACCCCCAGGATTTTCATTTTTACCCCATTTGGGGTAATTTACCCCTGTTCCCTGACCACTGCTCTACAGCCAGAGACTGAAACCACTCAGCGATCTAGCCAGCTAACTGTGTGTTGTCAAGGCGATTCTGACTTGTGACATTTTCCAGGTTTTTTAGTAGAGAATACACTGAAATGGTTTACCATTCCCTTCTTCTGGAGGGTGCTCTGGTACAGCGCAGCTTGCCCAAAACCACACAGGCTGGATAACTCAAGGGTTTCGGTATCTTGAAGAATCACAGTTTTCACAAAGCATAAGAAACAGGACGAACCTCTGCATATTATAAAATATGGTATTTTATAAATACCATATATACTGATAGAGGAAGTTATGGCTAACCATCACACTGGTGTTACCATTGCTACGTGAGAAACATTGCTGTGTGAATCCACTCCTGCATTTCAAGAAACCTTCTCAAAAATATATTTTAATAAAGTGATCGAGTTTGAAGAAATATTATTCCTTATCCAACATTTGTATCGGCCATGATATATTTCTTCATGCTATGCACATACCATACATAAGTTGAAATCCAGTAGTAACTTGCAGCTAGAGTAAGCCCGCGAATCAATAGAATTCACAGAGGGATTAGCTCAGTAAATCAATGGGCATACTTTCATTGTGACTTAACTACTGGATTTCAGCTATTGTGTATACATACTGTGGTCAAGCTGTCTGAACTTATGTGTTTTATTTTTCATACTGTGATTAAGGAGCAGTTTTGCCCTTCTCCCCTGAAGTGTTAGGTGTTTTCAAGCATCAAGAAGATACTCACATGACCTACATATCAGAGAATGATCTTGCCAATAGCTGGCTCAGAAAGAATTGAGGTTGGATTTCAATAAGCAGCCTGCAGAACAAATACTATAATAGTATGTTTACATGTGCCTCTCAAGGCACTCATCCTGATTTGGACTTAGGTCTGTACCTACCACATCTGTCAGAATATACTTTTAGAATTGGATCTGGAAATCCAGAACTGCACAATAACCTTGGGAAAAACTACTTTTTATTGTCCTCTCATTCCTACTATATTTAAAATAGAAAAAAAAACTGTACTATTATTTTTTAAAAATATTCTTATCCTGTCATTTTGCATTAAAAGGGGGGAATAAATAAAACAACCACAATATATATATATATTTATTCAATTGAATAAATAATAATAATATACAGTGGACCCTCGACTTACAGACGGCTCGACTGACAGACTTTTCAAGTTACAGACTTCTCTGGCTGCAAAATTTAGATTCGACTTCCAGCCAGAGAATCGACTTACAGACCAGAAAAAAACCAAAATGGAATAAAAATAGAATAAAAACCACTGGTTATGGGATTAATCGGTTTTCAGTGCATTGTAGGTCAATGGAGATTCGACTTACAGACTTTTTGACTTGCAGCCACCATTCCAATACGGATTAATTCCTTAAGTAGAGGGTCCACTGTATAGGAAGCCCAATAAATCCAAATTGGTATAAAAGCATCAAAGCACTCTCAACCCTGTCAATAATGGAGAAACCACATAAAACTAATTAAAAAAACAATGCAACCAAAGGTGATCACGTGGGTACATTGGGTATATTAAGAAATCCCTCAGAAAGGCATATTTCACCAATCACTTTTAAAAAGATGTATGGTAAAGGTACCTTACTGGGGAGGTGAACCGTAGCTGAAATGATCTTCCCCTCCACCTCATGGCTGTTGACCTGAACTTTGGTAGAGATGAAACATCAGGAGGGCTCCAGCTTAGCTTTCTCCAAGAAGTAAAGGAATGCACTTTTATGTATAGTATATCTATGTTGGGTCCTGGGTTCAGCATTTCTCTCTATCCTAAGTCAATTGGTGCACTCTGCAGTGGGTCTGATCTACAACATTCTCTTTATCTATTTCCATATATAAGTGCCTTGTTTGGATGAAAACAGCCAAACAGTTTCACTTCAAAGTTATTTATTATGGCTATTGCCAGTCATATTAATGGAAATGCCTAATTCCAGGTATATGCAAGCTTCACGTTGTTTAAAGAGCTTCTAACCCTTAATATTCCAGCGGAATGTCTAATAATATCTTCAAAAACACATTATTGGGAACAGGGCTTAGAAACAATGCATTAAACTAACATGTTGGTATTGTATTTGTTGTTTGAATGGAGAAAGGACATATTTATTATATTTTTTCTGTGTATAAGATGCCCCCATGTATAAGACCCCCCCACTTTTCTAACCCCAAAATTCTTTCTTTGAAAGAAGGGGGTGAGAGGCAGGGATCAAAGCATTTTGATTCCTGCTTTCCCCCTCCACTTTCTTGGGAGGAAAGTGCTTTTTCCCTCCACTTTCTTTCAAAAAGCTGCTTTCCCCCTCACAAAAACTGGAGAAGGAAAGCAGCTTTTTGCAAAGAAAGTGGAAGGGGAAAGCACTTTCCTCGCAAGAAAGTGGAGGGGAAAAGCAGGAATCAAAGTGCTTTGATATCTCCCCCTTAATACCATGTATAAAATGACGCTCGATTTTCCCTCTATTTTAGGAAAAAGTGTTGTTTTATACATGGAAAAATACGGTATATATTGTTTTATAATCAGTGTATCAAAAGTTGTGTTAATGAGTTTTCTACTTGAGAAAATTATTACTTATGCCATGTCCGCATGTCCTCCTCTTGAAAAGTAGCTATGTACTAATGATTCCCAGCTGTTACAGTTTGGAGCAAAATGGAAGAATAAATAAGATGAGATGATTTGTATAGGCTAAATCTTTCTGTATCTAGTTTGTTACCTTGCTGTAGCAAAGACAGAGACCTTTTACACTAGAGAGACATTTGAGGGAATCGCGCAAATCATCCCAGTGTACTTATCCCTCCTGTTGCTGGATTTGTTCCAAATGCAAACTGCAAAAGCATCTCTGATATTAAATTATTCATGGGAGACTAGAAGCCAGCACTTTTCAGTTATGTGTATGTCCTGTGGAATGTAGTGGTCACGAAATGAGAAGGCTGATGGTTTAGGTGATCACCAGATAATTAAGAAAGCAATTAGTCTTAGAGAGAGAAGTTAAAGAAGTCAGTCACACAAAGAGATGTCCGCCAGTGGAGTCCTCCACACACATCTCCCTGTATACCTCTCCATACACCACTCCATACACCACTCTGGGCAATACCCCCAGGGAGGACTCCATTTTATTAACCTTACAAATTGTTGATAGTACGAGGGGGGGGGCTGATAAGTATTGAGCCTTACCCAGAAAAAATTGAGCTAGGAAGCTATAAATTGCAGGGTATATTGGCCAATTTGTCTAAATTCAATGGTGCAAAAATCAACTACCTATGATTTTAACTTAACTTTCATTTTCCAGTCCAAAGTGAATATGACAGCATCTCCAGAAAAGTTCAGTGTGGAAGAGCATAGGACCATAATCAAGTTCCTGTTTCTCCAAGGGAAAGATGCAAACCAGATCCATGATGAAATGTCAAAACTATGGGTCACAGTGGCCCTTCATATGCAACAGTTAAACATTGGGTTGTCAATTTTTAAACTGGCCATTTCGCTGTTGAAAGTGAGAAACCCAGTGGAAGGCCTGTTTCTGTCTCTGTGCCTGCAAATGTGAAAGCCATCCATGACATGATCATGGAGGACGGCCGAATATCAGCCAAAAGTGTGGCTATATATCTGGGAATATCATGTGAGAGAGTTGGTGCCGTTATCCACAACAACTTGGAAATGAGAAAGCTGGCAGCAAAGTGGATCCCCAAACTTTTCAGAACTGAACAAAAGAGGAAACGTGTAGAGTCATCGGTGGCTGTTTTGGAACATTTTGCAAGAAATGAGTCAGATTTCCTGGGCAAACTGGTAACTGGTGATGAGACATGGATCTACTGTTATGATCCTGAGACAAAGGAACAGT